ACAGGAGGAGGATTATGTCCACAAATCTGACTGTCGCCTGATGATCCTCTGACACCCATAAACTCTATACTCATTGGTTCTTTCGGTAAAAATCACGTAGGTATAAAATAAAATATACCTACGTGACTTTACCGAAAGAACCAAAGAGTTATGGATCCCTGCAGTCACGGGAGCTTCAAACCCATAAACTCGTTGTGCCTCCCACCAGCCTCCGCTCTATGGGTGATTGGAGGGCCCTCTCATCAGTTGCCCCGAGGCTATGGAACACACTGCCCATTGAGATCAGATCCGCTGAGTAAATCTCCGCCTTCAAATCTCAATTAAAAACTCATCTGTTCAAACGGTCTTACAATTTGGCTTGAATGCCCTCCTATACTCTCCCTCACCGAGCATATTCTGTCCCTTGAATGCTCTCAATGCTGCCCCTTATGTTTTATACATATGCTATTGTTATTTTTCATGCAATAGTTCTATTTTCAGCATGTTTCATATTTAATACTTGTTACTGTTCGGTTCTTTGAACGTGGGAAGAGCGACATATAAATAAAATGCATTATTATTGATGAGGCCGCTTGTGATTACCGGCAAAACGTCAAGGTAATACGAATTGTAAATGTTGCAGTGGGTTCACTCTCCAACACACTGGGTGTGCTGAACTAGTCACTAGCTGGCACGTTTTGTTTACGTGACAAACCTTCTAATTGGCCGTGTCGGGTGGTGGCTGGTTTAACGACACATTTATATTTATGCGATCTAACCCACAACAACCCCCCCCCCCCCTATTATGGACAATATTGCTCGCGAAATCCCTAAACTGGTAGGGTGGTGCCTCTACGTTAACGGACAATGACGATGGCAGCGAGAGGGGGCGGTCACGGAGGTGATCGGACGATTCGTTTGGGAGGATTTCGAGGATGAATGATTGCCCATTGACGCTATCTCCCAGTATGGCCGCGGTCGCACTGTGGCTCGTCTTTAAGGTATCTCTGTGGACCTATGGGGGTCTCTGCATCTCGATGTGTCTCCGTGTGTCTCCGTGTGTCTGTACCTATCTCTGTGTGTCTCTCTCTGTGCAGCTGCGCATCTCTGTGGCTATGCGTCTCTATGTTTGCCCTCTTGCGCACGGCAATGTGGCTTAGGAGCTCGATGCCACCAATGTCTAGGTCTGCTGCTGGCCACGATGAGGGGGGCTTCAAGGGGAGAGTTCGTGTCGTTTTGCTGTTCTCTTCCTTCGCCGATAGAGCTCAGACCACAGTGGGTTTACCGTGCAGTCCATAGCGTGGCCACAATCGCACTACCGTGGCTTGTCTTTAATGCATCTCTACGGGTCTCTATGTATCTCTATGGGTCCGAGTGTCTACGTATATCCATGTGCCTATATGGGTTTACTGTACGGTCCATGGCTTGGTTGCACGGTCACAATCACAGTGCAGTGGCTCGCGGGGCGCCACGGTGGCTAGGAGATGTTAACTACCTCCCCTGGTATACAGGAAGTTGTTGGTTGTTGTAACAGCTCTCTCGCTGGTTCAGCAGTTCCACTGCTGGATTTTTTTCGCCTGAGGACGACCGCTTGTGTTGCGATCGAAACGTCGTGATATGTATTTTTTATTTTATTTTTCTACCTACGTGACTTTACCGAAAGAACCAAAAGAGTATGGATTCCTACAGACACGAAAGCTTCAAATCAAGAAGGAGGTCGTGGGTTCGAGCCCGACCCTTCATCCCCTATGGGACATAATCCTTTCCTGCCCTTGGCTGCATGCTCTGCCGCTCCCCATGAGAGGTTTTTCTTGCCAAGCTCTGCCGTGGCGGTTCTTCGCCAGGTGGGTTTTGGCCTCCCCAGTTTTCTTTTGCCAGCAGGCGTCCATCTCAGGATCGATCCCGACCCTTGACTCCTGTAATTTTTTTAAAGTTTGCGGTGTCTCCCCGTGGTTGCGTGGATTTTTCTCTGGGTCCCCCGGTGTCCGCCCTCCACATTTGGAATCGACGTCGTGCGTTCAGAGTGTTTGGCCGCTGCAACTTTCCGCGTGATGATAAGCCAACTTCGTTGAGCTCTCAATTGTGATGGCCAGGTCGCTTCTAACGAAGAGCTACAGAGCTCAGTGGACCTTACCTGGTAAAATAAAAACAATGTTAAATAGTTAATGTATCATCGCGATCCTCGCGTTGTTGGCGTAGCAGAGAGCGCACTGCACACGGCACACAAAGAGGTGGCCGGCCACCACCACTACGCCCGGGCGTCTTTGTCTCTTCAGGAGTTTAGTTTTTAATCCATTTATGAAAGAGATGTGCACATCATCGTCCCGGTGATGATGCTCTGATGCGCTTAATGGTTGCAATGTTGTTCTCGAGGAGGGAGGGAGGGATGTTAAAGTCCTGGTCGTAGGCGTGCGATGATGCTCGGGGTCTCGAGCCCTGAATGAGGGCGCTGGCAAACACGGCGGAACGGAAACTTTCAGAGGGAGCGCACGGAAACAACAACTTGGACAGCGCCGTTTGTAACTGGCCGATGGGCGTTCTGGGGTCCCCAGGTGTCCTGTCTGCTCGGCAACTGTAGTCAAGGTCACCTCCGATTATCCAACCGTGCTCAATCCCAGACTCGCAAAGACCCGCAGCGACGCGTGGAGACCCACAGAGACTCATCCGAGTTCAATTAAAGACAAGCCACAGTCGTCCCAGTGTAGCCATGCAACCCTAACCATGGACCGCACACAGCAAACCCACTGGGCTCTGGGCTCCTGCATCGGATGAAGCAAGGAGGAGCAGCGACACGACACGAACTCTCTGCTGAAGCCCTCCCGTAGTGGCCAACAGCAATAGCAGCAGGACCCCTCGACATTGGCGACATCGAGCACCTGAGCCAGATTGCCATACGCAAGAAGATGAAGATACATGGAGATAGATAGACCCATAGGGATACATATAGACACATGAAGACCCACAGAGAGACACATATATACATACACAGAGAGTCCTAGAAATACTTAAGAGTTACGACCAAGACGAGCCACAGCAGTGCGACTGTGGCCATGCAACCCAGAGGCTATGGACCCACAAAGTAAAGCCACTGCGGTCTGCGCAGGAGGAACAGCGACACGACACGAACTATCTCTCTCTCTCTCTACTGAAGCCCTCTCGTCGTAGGCCAACAGCAGCAGCAGCAGACCGCGACAATTGGCGACATCGAGCGCCTGAGCCACATCGCCGCCACGCGCAAGGATACAACGACAGTGGACCCCACCGTGTGCTCAAGTGCACGTTACTTGTTCACTTCGAGAGAGCTGCACAACGCGGTCGATCTTGGTGGTGCATTTCGGTGCGAGAGGGAGCGGTTTCCTTTTTGGTAAAAATATCAACCCAGGCGTTCGTTGCTATTTATATTTAATTTTGTCGCGGTGGGAAAGGAGTTCCGTTGAACACAAGGCCGGCCAGGGCCCAGGGAGGGACAGGCTTGGCCTTGGGACAGGGGAGGCTAACCATCGCACAAAGACGACGGCCGTCTGGAAAAAAAAAACACTCTTCTATCCGATATTAGTGAAGCCACTGTGCACTTTTCAATCCAAATTGAAAACGAATTTCTGTAGAACTGCTTTTTAGCACTTAGATCGTTGTCCTCCCCGCCCTCCCGCCCCTCCGATTAGCGTCATTGATGCGAAAGAAATTCAACATACGTAGAGATTCATACTCGGAGATATATACGGGGAATCATAAAGTCCCGTATAGATACAGAGACCCATATTCAAGTGGTGGTGCCATTGTGGCCATGCAACCCCATACACTCGCGTTGCAGTGATATCCCGACAAAACGCTGGGCTCATTCAGTGATGGGGCGGTGGCACTTCCCCCACACCTCCGATTAGCACGGTTGGCTACGTACGGTGCGAAAGAAGTCCAACCATACGTCCCGAGTTTAGGTGACAAAGTCAAGTTGACTTCCCGGCTCACCACGGTGCTGATGCCCTGTCGACGGCCCTGCAGAGTCGGTGGACAACTGGCTGTCGATCTCTGCCCAACTAACCGGTCCGTGTTTTATCGACCCCCCCCGAAAGCTGGTGGGATGATGGGCTGAGCCAACCCTGCCTCAAATAACCCGGATTGGAACTCGCGGCCTTCCGGCTACGAGCAGCTCGCACGGTCGCTTTGAGCCACCCGGGCCGATAATGCGGAAGTAAAGCCCCGATCGTCAACCGTTGGGCATGGAGCGGTGGCGCCGTGGTTAGCGCAGTGCGCGATAAACCCAAAGCCCTGGAGTTTTCATTCCTCGCCGCCGCGACGAACGGCAAAAAAGCGGCGAGCGATATCCGAGTCGGTTTCTGGCCACCCGCCAAAAAAACAAAACCTCCCGCACTGACCAGGGTGGTGAAGTATGGTCAAACGGCCCTTCCGACCGACACGGCGTATCGGAGGGTTTTTATCCAGCAGTGGATCGATGAACGACTGTACGTGTGTTAGTATTAACAAATAGGGTACATTCAAGAGGGTGTGTGCCTCCCGCTGGTTTACTGTAAAGGGTGTGTGGCCCCTGCAATCATCCACTCAGCCCCCCAGTGATCCACTCATCCCCAGCCCTCCCTTCCCAGTGATCCACTCAGCCCCCCCAGATATCCACTCATCCCCACCCCTCCCTTCCCAGTGATCTACTCAGCCCCCCAGTGATCCACTCATCCCCAGCCCTCCCTTCCCAGTGATCCACTCAGCCCCCCCAGATATCCACTCATCCCCAGCCCTCCCTTCCCAGTGATCTACTCAGCCCCCCAGTGATCCACTCATCCCAAGCCCTCCCTTCCCAGTGATCCACTCAGCCCCCCCCCCACCAGTGATCCACTCAGCCCCCCCCCAGATATCCACTCATCCCCACCCCTCCCTTCCCAGTGATCCACTCGGCCCCCCATTAGTCCACCCATACCTCCAGCGATCACTCAGGCCTCACAATAATTCGCTCTCGGGGGGGGGGGGGGGGGTCCGTGCCCACGAATCCCCCCGCCCCGCCACGTACGCACCGAGCTCCCTGGACGCCTGGCTCTCGCTCGCGATCTCTCCCAGCTTGACCAGTGCGTCGAAGTATCCCTTGGCAGCGTGGGTGACTCCTGCAGAGCGGCGGCACGGAGACACTCGGTGAGCGGCGGAGAGAGACAAAGGCGGCTGTGCAGTGTTGTCGCCCCCACCCCAACAAAGACAAAGATCCCCCCGTATAGCCTTAACAGACTGTAGGGGCAAGTGCTGTGAGCAAGCACCTATGAAGGCCGGAACGCTACACGAGGGGGTGGGTGGCCAGCACCACGCCCGACCGCCTTTGTCTCCGCAGTGGCGACGTTTAACACATCGCATCAGGTACTCATTTGAGGCTGAGTCGCCCTAGGGGAGGCCCAGTACCGGTTCAGATAATCGCCACAAGTGTTGGCCGTGAGCGGGAATCGAACCCGGGTCGCCAGGTTCATAGCGCAGCGTAGCGCTAACCGCTACACCACCGCTCCCCCCAACACATGTGTGTAAGTTAAAACCAGGGGTGGGGGGGGGGTGTTGGCTTTGTTATCAAATCATTATGACAGCTGATATCCAAACAGCCTCGACACTTTCGCAAGTGCCACCGCGTGGCCCCAAAAAGTAGCCGACAAAACATATAAATAGCAGGCGACGTTTCGGGCGGTGGGCCTCCTTCATTTTGCGTGCTGTGAAGAAGGCGCCGTTCGCTGAATCGTGGCCTAACTCAACATTTTCCTTTCGTAAGGGCCGCACGATGTTCACTGGCGATTGCGCCGAGCTGAGCTGGTGCGTGCACCCTGGATGTGCCTGTGTTCGCGTGCAACCTTGCGGGGAGCGGTGGCGACGTAGCGCGGCGAGCCGAGGTCGCTTCCCGACCACGGCCACCACCAACCCCGGTGGCGATTATCCGAACCGGTCCTGGACCTCGCCTAGGTCGACTCAGCCTCAAATGAGGTCCCAGTGCGGTGTGTAAACGTCGCCACTCGGGAGACAAGGGCAGTGAGTGTGGTGCCGTGCCAGCCGTCATTGGTGCCACTCGCTAACGGCACCGGTCCCTGCAGCCTGTTGAGGCTATACGGGGGATCTTTGTCTGTGTTGTGTGTGTATCCTGTACACGTGCTGTGTGGCACGTGTTGTGTACACACACACACACACTGACCTGACAGGGCCTTCTCGTAGCACTTGCCCATGGCCACGAAATTTCTCAAGCACGGATTGTATTGCTCCATGATCGTCTGTGGGGGGTCAGAATTTGACGAGCAAAGTCACTCACTCACTCAACCACCCAGCCAGCCAGCCAGCAAGCCACAACATCACGGACTCACTCACCCGGCCACAACACCACCTACTTCACTGACTCACTCACCCACCCGACACATTTTCACTCATTCAACTCAGCCACAGTATCATGCGCTCACTTGCCCGTTAACTGATGTACTCTCTTAGCCACAACATCACTGACTCACCTACTCACTCACCCACTCACCCGGCCACAATACCACCCACTTCACTGACTCACTCTCCCACCCGTAACGTATGCACTCATTCACTCAGCTACAGTATCATTCACTCACTCGCTCGCTGACTCGCACGCCAAACTGATTTGATTTACTCTCTCAGCCACAACATCACCCACTTCACCGACTCATTCACTCACCCGTAACGTGTTTCACTCATTCACTCAGTTACATCATCATCCAATCACTCGCTCGCCCGCTCACTCAGCCACAAAATCACCCACTACATCGACTCATTCACTCACCAATCATTTCACTCATTCACTCAGCTACAACTTAATTCACTAATTAACTCACTCACTCTTGCTCGCTCGCTCACCTACTCAGCCACCCGCCCAGCCATTACATTTTCTCAATCACTTATTCACTCACTCACTCGCTCAATCACTCATTCACTGACTCGCTTGCTCAATCACTCATTCACTCACTCATTCACTCGCTGAATCACCCATTCACTCACTCGCTCAATCACTCATCCACTCACTCGCTCGCTCAATCACTTATTCACTGACTCGCTCGCTCAATCACTCATTCACTCACTCGCTCGCTCAATCACTCATTCACTCGCTCACTCGATCATTCATTCACTGACTCGCTCGCCCAATCACTCATTCACTCACTCACTCGATCGCTCAATCACTCATTCACTCGCTCGCTCAATTACTCATTCACTGACTCGCTCGCTCAATCACTCATTAATTCACTCGCTCGCTCACTTGCACCAGCACATCAAACCGAATCGTTCGGTGATGCTGCTGTAGTGGTGTACAGGCACAATTAAGAATTAATAACACAAACTCAGCACACATTCGTCAGGAACAACACCGCAGGCGATGTTTCAGGCAATGCCCCATCCTCATTGCGTGTTCTTGAATTTGTTATAAAGTGCAACATCGCTCACTCCATTCATATCTTGTTTACAAACGAATTGTCTGGGAGAGTTCCGATTTCAATGAAGTGATCATGGGCCATAAAATAACTTTACATCCCCCCCCACCCCCACAATATTGCAATCGCACAATTATCGACACATCACAACAATGCACACGTCTCCAAAGAGGAGTGGCAGAAAGCAGTGAATCACCTCGTGTCAGAGAGCACGCTTCTGGAAGGTGATGTCACACAGCTGCTTCTGATTTCACTTCAAATCTGGATCGCACTTTTTCATCTACATTGAAAAACTCGTTTCTTGATAACTGCTTTTTGTGTTTACTTTCTTGTCCCCCACCCCCCCCCCCCCCCCGCGCCTCTGATTAGCGCGGTTGCCTACGTACGGTGCTAAAGAAGTTCAACGTGCAATACAATTGCCTCTTATGATGGGGGGGACCTTGCCAATAAATATCTGTGGAGTTCACCAGCATTGATTGGTTGCACGGAGCCTGACACTGCTGATGAGACACTGAATGTCAATCACAGGTGCGGAGTTTTTCTTGCACCGAACCAGCGCCTCTGAAATGTTGCAAGCCGAGATGGCTGTGGGGCCGCTGGGATGCGTGAAGCCACGCCAGTATATAGTTTAAGGGGAGAGACGTCTCGACGCAATCAGGAGAGACATCGCGTGCCTATCTGCAGTATACTGTCGATTATTTCCACAGTGACCCTAATGATTATTTCGTGTTATGTATGATAAAGGCAAAGATCCCACGTGCAGCCTTAACTAAGGGGCAAGTGCTGTTAGCGAGTGGGAGCTGTGATGGCGCACGAGGGGGTTAGTGCGTTAAACAACCACGCCCGGCCGCCTTTGTCTCCCCTGCGCTCATGTCTGAGGTCCAATAATGATTGTTGTCTCATCCACACTCGAGGCCCTGCTTTGTCTCATGGGCCAGGTTGTGGCGGGAGAAGCGATGAACGTGATGATGGTGGTCGTGGTGGTTAGTGGTGGTGGTTGTTGTTGATTGTGATGAAGATATAAACGACGATGATGCTGGTGGTGATATTGGAGACGGTTCAAGCATTGATGATGATGATTTAATTATGACAATGATTGCTGATAACGAACGTTGATCATTTTTACGATGCTGCTGAATGATGCTGCCACTGTTGCTTCCTGAATGCCACGTGTCAGCCCATTGAACTCCCTTGCTCACATCAGGGGCTTGTAAACACCCCCCCCTCTCTCCCCTCCACCTCGTCCATCACGCCCACCCCGTCACCCCCTCATCTAAAGAGTGCTTGTGTGCGAAGTGGCCAGCTCCACGTCCCTTTCTCACGCCGGCAAAGACAAAGTCCCCCCGTTAAGCCTTTGGCAAGCTGTTGGGGCAAGTGCTGTTAGCGAGCACCTATAAAGGCCGGCACGGCACACGAGGGGGTGGGTAGCCAACACCACGCCCGGCCGCCTTTGTCTCCGCAGTGGCGATATTTACTACACATCGCACCAGCTATTCATTTGAGGCTGTGTCGACCTCGGGGAGGCCCAGGACCGGTTCAGATAATCGTCACCGGTGTTGGCCGCGAGCGGGAAATCGAACCCCGGGTGGCCTGGTTCGTAGCGCAGCGTAGCGCTAACCTCTGCGCCACCACCACCACGCAGGCACGCACGCAAATATATTTGAGCTGTAGCGAGGGACGTTCCGCGGCGCTGGTATCGCCGGCGGTAGCAACACGGCAGACGGCGATGATGACAATGGTCAAGTCGGGATGACGAGGCCGCGGTGCGGTGATTTATCGGCGCGCCGAGTGGCCGCAGGTTCGACTCCGTCTCCCCGGCGCGGCAGTTGGAGCAACCGGTGGGTCGGTTGCGCGCGCGTCTTACAAATCCCCGACCTCTCGCAAATCGACCTCGCCGCCCCTGCCCACCCAACGTGCACACCGCGGTCATTCGATCGGATCGGTCGCACGCGTGTGGTGGTGGTGGTGGTGGGGTCAAGTGCGGGTACGCCCACCACCTCTTCGAAGGCGTCCGGTCGGTGTGGAAGAGGAGGTGGACATTCCGCCTAGAGACTCCCGTGTAGCGGAGGCGCCGTCCCGCCGCCAGCAGTGGTGTGAGCCGAGCCGTTGCAGGGCCTGCGCCTTTAACCCCCCCTTATCAAAAGGGCTCGTGGGGAAAGCCCAAACAGCCCTAGGGTGATGAGCGTGATGGATGTTCGGAGTGTTCCTCTCTTCGAGTGGTTCCTCTTGACGATAAAACAAATAACACCCCCTCCCAACCCGCGCGCGCACTCGACAATAGTGGCAATTCCACGTTGCTGTGGTTTGTTCGGGGAGGTTTAAAATAAAAATAAGTCACGTGCTGTGTTGCTGAGCGCAGGCCCGTTGGCCCAAAACGTCAAGGGGCCCAGCCACAAGCAGCACGAGCGGACGCGCAATGGCCACGAGTTGAATGCGTTTCTTGAGCTGAGCGAAGTTTGTTAGTAAAGTGGCGGGGGGGGGGAGAAAGAGAAGTGTGGTGACCCGCGGGGTGGTGAGTGGGTGGGTGGGTGGGGTGGTGAGTGGGTGAGTGTGTTGTTGTGACCTGCAGTGTGGTGAGTGGGGTTGTGAGTGGGTGAGTGTGTTGTTGTGACCTGCAGTGTGGTGAGTGGGGTAGTGAGTGGGTGAGTGTGTTGTTGTGACCTGCAGTGTGGTGAGTGGGGTTGTGAGTGGGTGAGTGTGTTGTTGTGACCTGCAGTGTGGTGAGTGGGGTAGTGAGTGGGTGGGGTAGTGAGTGGGTGAGTGTGTTGTTGTGACCTGCAGTGTGGTGAGTGGGGTTGTGAGTGGGTGAGTGTGTTGTTGTGACCTGCAGTGTGGTGAGTGGGGTTGTGAGTGGGTGAGTGTGTTGTGACCTGCAGTGTGGTGAGTGGGGTAGTGAGTGGGTGAGTGTGTTGTTGTGACCTGCAGTGTGGTGAGTGGGTGGGTGGGGTAGTGAGTGGGTGAGTGGGTGAGTGTGTTGTTGTGACCTGCAGTGTGGTGAGTGGGGTAGTGAGTGGGTGAGTGTGTTGTTGTGACCTGCAGTGTGGTGAGTGGGGTGGTGAGTGGGTGAGTGTGTTGTTGTGACCTGCAGTGTGGTGAGTGGGTGGGTGGGGTAGTGAGTGGGTGAGTGAGTGTGTTGTTGAGACCTGCAGTGTGGTGAGTGGGGTAGTGAGTGGGTGAGTGTGTTGTTGTGACCTGCAGTGTGGTGAGTGGGTGGGTGGGGTAGTGAGTGGGTGAGTGGGTGAGTGTGTTGTTGTGACCTGCAGTGTGGTGAGTGGGGTAGTGAGTGGGTGATTGTGTTGTTGTGACCTGCAGTGTGGTGAGTGGGGTTGTGAGTGGGTGAATGGGTAAGTGGGTGAGTGGGTAAGTGGGTGAGTGCGTTCTTGTGACCTGCACTGTGGTGAGTGGGTGGGTGAATTGGGTTGTGAGTGGGTGAGTGGGTGAATGGGTAAGTGGGTGAGTGTGTTGTTGTGACCTGCGGTGTGGTGAGTGGGTGGGTGGGGTTGTGAGTGGGTGAGTGGGTAAGTGGGTGAGTGTATTGTTGTGACCCTGCAGTGTGGTGAATGGGCGGGTGAGTGAGTGGGTGAGTCGTTGAGTAGGTAAGGGGGTGAGTGCGTTGTTGTTACCTGCAGTGTGGTGAATGGGTGGGTGAGTGGGCGGGTGAGTGAGTGGGTGAGTCGTTGAGTAGGTAAGGGGGTGAGTGCGTTGACCTGCAGTGTGGTCAGCGGGTGGAGGAATCAATGAGTGACGTTCGTGAGTAAAATGAAGAAACCATTGTAGCAGCGATAGAAGAGCGATGAGGAGGTGACGGGCCGTCATTGATTAGACACAAG